TAATTGAATTAAAGGAACCTGGAACAAAGTAATCATTAGCTTGTCAGAATGTTATTTTTAAAAAGGAAGGAAGGAACAGGACCACTTAGAAATTGAGGCTTTAAAATATCTGCCCATCCTCTTTTTAGATTCCATTCTAGAAATCCATCATTGTACCTTCTTTCATAGTATATACAAAAAAATGTATCCGTGTGGATTAATCACTCACGTTGAAATATATTCTAGTTTGAACAGACAATACGACCACTGCAGAGTTTGGTTTTCATATTATGCCTAATTCAATTATTTCAGTATTACTGTCACAACTAGGGAATATATAATACTTACCTGCCAAAACTCTATTGACAGAGGAGTGAGTGGCCAACCCAGGCTGTCCACGTTCATGGAAAATCCCAGCGTAAGGCAAATACTCAGGCAACAAGAAGCGTCTAAAAAGAAGAGAAAAACACTGCTAAAAATGCTGTGAACCTGATAAAGACCTGAGTAATAGACAATTTCATGCATGCATTATTAGTTATATAGCTCTTACCTTGGGACAAAGCGTCCAAGGGATGGTGCAGACATACGGGCATTCCGAGGAGCTCGGTGTCTTGACCTGTCTCCATTGTCCCTTCAGTGGGGGGAAAAATAATAATTAATTTTTCACAGCAAGGTCAGATTTAGGATTCTTTCCCCTAAACTAATCACAGTAAATACTGAAGTAAAACAACTTCCTTATAACTTAATTAACTATTATGGTAGGTTGTCTTTTCACCTTTCTAATCTTCCTCAAAGGTTTAGGACACAACATAATAAAAACACTAACACAATATTATATTAAACATTATGTGAAATGCTACTTTGCTCCGTATCATTTTTATACAGTAGCCAGAATTTACTGAAATTACAGAAGGAAACAAAAATGTAAACATTCTCTCTCAATTAAATTCATCAGAATCTGAGGTAGTAGTTTGTACAAACCAGCAAGTCTACATTGGCAGCAAAAGTACACAGATCTACAGAGAAAAACAGGCTGTTCTTCATTCTTCATACTCTTTTTCTCTTCAGATTATTAGGTACCAGATCAATAGTATACATTTTAAGACCTCCTGCAAGCAGGATATCTGAAGCATGCCTCATGCAGTTTTACATGAATTATATAATCCTTTATCATTTTGCAACTTTTCACTTCCTTTGCTCAGAGGGAGAAAGAGATAAAAGCATTAAAAAGTTCAAAAATACAATTTAAAAATAAACTGCCGTATAGAATAAAAAATACAACTAAAATAATTTAATTATTCGCAAGCTTTGCAGAGTTTATAAGACCTTGCAAAGAAAAAGATACGACATTTAAGAACAAAATAAAACATGAATTAATGGGTGTGATAGAAGGATGGTTTACAAGAATATAAAAATATGGAGAGGTATACAGAATGGTGTTTGTATAAACTAAATTTGGTTAGGATTTTTTTCTTCGATTTCCTACCTTTAATTTCTTTATATTACTTTAAAAAAATTTGCTTTATATATAGTTTACTTCAAAAAGTAATAGCATGGTAGGTATCTAGGTGCATCAAGATGCACACTTGAAAGCACAAAGAAGCTAGGCCAAACCTTCAATATTAGATTATTTTAATAGCACTACTTTATTTCAATGTTTATTATTAGTTATTTATTCTTCCATAGTTAACATTTGCAGCAGAGATTCACATTTCTCTCTGACACTGGAAACTAGATTTTTTAAAATTATAAAATGCTTAGTTAAGTCACTGTTGATGCTTTGAGCTAAAAATAAATGATCCTAATAATAATGGAAAAGGTAGCTATTGCAAAAAATAGAAGACCTTCCATTATACTGATTTCCCTTAATCACACATACTTTAATGCCTAGTTAAGTCAAAAGCTAATTTTCAAGAGAGCAGAACTATAAACAGTTCTTGTATGTTTCTGTATTTCAGAGATCTAAAGCACAGATCTAAAGCAAGAATAAGGCAACTGGAAATTTAAAAAAAATTATAAACACAACAGTTTTGATGCAAACAGTCTTTCCCCTTTACATCAACTAACATTCTGCATTAGTAATTTCTGGTTAAGATTCACATGCAACTATGGAAATCCTATCTCTATTACCTCATCTCATTTTTCAAATTATTTCTACAACAGCTGCAAAATGAAGTTTGTCTTTGTTCTCAGGAGAATTTGCTGTAGGGTAGAATGGACTGATCCAGCAATCTATTTATGCTTACCAGTAGCATAGTTGTTCTAAGATATGAGAAAATCTCACCCAAAGAATTTGGTGTGGCTATATTACCAAAGCAAGGTCACTGCACTCTGTTCAAAAATAAAACTCAGAAATCTTTTTAGTATGTGAAGATGGATGGATAGTGGTTTCTCCTTTCTTGATAGAATAGAGCAAGACAATGAAGAAAGTTATGTCTGCACTGTAAAGAAAATAACTTTGCTAGGTTTGAAGTTTTCAAAACAAACCTTCAACTATATTAAGATTAAAATAATAATTTTAATTCTTACAGCATTCCAGGGAGCATATTTCAAAGTAAATGTATCATAAACTTCCAACCTATTGGTGAGAACTGTATTATGTGTAAAGTTAAGGAATTGTGTACTTTTTATTTCTTAGATCAGGAGTCAGCAAACTTTGGTATGGTCTACTAGCTAAAAATGAATGGACAGGTGGCTGATTGCCAGGCCCAAGCTTCAGCTAAGCTGCTGGGGCAAGTGGCAGGGCTGAAGGGGAGGACTGTACAGTTTTAGAACAGTCTAGTTAGAGTCAACTCATGAGGCAAAATTCCTCAGCATCTTTTCACTGCTGCCTTCTCTGGTATCCTTCCTTTCAAAGCCATTGGTAGTATTGTGTGGAAAACTAAAATGTTCAGATGGAATTGTTAAAGCAATCTAAGCCTTACAACTCAGAAAATCAACATAAGAAATATATTGGTTCCTTCAAGAGCCAGGATAATTGGCAGATTTTTAAAATATGCTTTATTTTTACATTGCTTTTGTAAGTATCTATAGGATAAAAATATTCCAGACCCCATAAAGAAAAAAGGGTCATTTAGAATTTAAGCTCATTTTTCATTTCAGTACTTTAAAAACTTAAAATACTAAGACAAGAAAAATGACTGATAGATGACAGCTTATTGAAAGTTTAATAGTTCAAAGCTATTCTCGTAGAGAATACAAAAATATGCATCTTGATAGAGTGGTGATGGTAGTAGAGTTGTGCAAATACAATTTCCTTAATTCTTAATCATCCCATTAATTGATTATTTTTTTTAAAGAACGGCTAACCTCAAATATCTATTATAAACTACTAGTTAACAGTCTGACTGGGCAAATGTGAGTAGATAACTGGGTCACTATCTTCAATACAAATGAGTTGATGGACATATAAAATACTAAGAAATTGTTATTAGGTTCCCTCTGTACGCAAGGATGAATATGTTATTTATTCCATAACCCAATAAATATAACTGCTGTAGATATGGATCAAATCATCACAAAAATTAAATGGCATTAACAATAAGGGAGAGACAGTTAAAGAAAAAAAGAACACCAAATGCTTTTCTTAAAATCATGTCTTAAAATAACGCTATTCAAATCAGCTAGCAAAAAAACCCTTCCATTAAAATGGAACAACTTTAATATTTTGAAGAATTCCATTAGCACTAAAAAATGTATTCTTACTTGATTATCATAAAAAGGGAGAAATGTGCTGAATGTTTTAAAAAGCATTCAAACTACACAAAAGCATTCTTTTGCATGTATTAAACTATAGACACAGTCTCCCAAGGGATGTAGCAATAATAAAATAAAGTCAGCTTTGAAAACTTCTCACAGGATACAGGTACTCCTCATCTTACAACCTTTGAACAATGATTCAAAGTTATGACAACCTTGGAAAAAGTGATCTACAATCTGTACTTGCACTTAAGACCATCCTGGCAGTCACATGATCACAATTCAGGCACTTGATAATTGGCTCATATTTAGGGCAGGCTGAAGCACCCGGTGGTCATGGGATCATGATTTGCAACCCTTTTTGACAATTTCCAGCAAAAACCACCCACTGGGAAAGCTGGATTCAGTTATCAACCATGTGTTTTGCTAACTGCCAGAAAAGTCATTGTAAAATCAGGTCTGACTCCACCTTCGGACACAACAATGTATAATGGAAATTCAATTCCAATTGTGGATTTAAGTTGAGGGTTAGCTGTATTTAAAGAAGAATAAAAAGAATTCTCTCAAGACTGGAAGATGTGGAGAGACCTGGTCTACAGAAATTATTTATTATTATTATTATTTATTGAATTTATATACCGCCCTATCTCCCTTACGGGACTCAGGGCGATGAACAGGCGATAATAAAAACCACAATAAATATACACAAATTTCTGTTCTAAAATCAAATTAAATAACAGGCCTGCTCTAAAAATACCCCATACAAAACCCCCACTAAAACATAATCAAACTACGCCAGGCCGGCCGCACGGAATAGATGGGCCTTCAGGGCTCGGCAAAAAAGGCGCAGGTCCGCAACTGTACGTAGGTCGGGGGGTAGGTCATTCCAGAGGGCAGGAGCTGCCACAGAGAAGGCTCTCCCCCTGGGGGTCGCCAGCCGGCATTGTCTGGCC